ATTGTTAAAACACTTTACAGTAAAGGATTTTATTTGTTTATTTTTTTAATTCTGTCACTTATTCCACTTTTTTTGATATAACACCACGATTTTCCCATTGTGGGTCAATAAAGCGTTTCTCTATTCTATGTTAGGCAGAAATTGCTGTTGGTGGAATTTCAGGGCGGAGATTCTGGGAAGATCCACAGACGCCACATCCTCCACGGCTGAAATCAAGCTGCTGGTTCACTTTTCCAAAACGTAGAACCAATGGAGTTAGAAACTCGCCTCTATCTGATGCTCTGGATACTTTAAACCAGGCTTTACACTGCAAACATTATCTAAAAATAAGTCAAAGGTCTTACATTTAGTGTATTTCCTCTTAAATAGAGCAGGTAAATAAGATAATGTGCCGATGGAAGGAGGATTTATTCTCTTAGAATAAGATAATTAGATAATCTGCACCTGAAATAAGACAATTCAGTTGTTTTTTCTTAGTTTAAATTTAATTTGTCTTGTTCCATTGGCAAAGTGTCTCACTTACCTCCCCAATTCCAGAAAGAAACGACTTAGATTTAGATGTTTTGCAGTGTGTATTAGATTAGTTGGTTGGTGTGCAGGACCTGCTGCCTCATTGGGAAGCCAGAGAGAAACTCTGCTGCAGACCAGAAGCTCTGCCAGACATGAAGCCGTCATCCTGATCAAAGATGAATAAAAATATCCTCCATTCCAATCATTCTGTCTCCTCCTTTCACTTTCTGTTTTATCGGCTTTCTTGCTAAAAATACTCCTCCTATTTTGCAGGCCGCACCCTGAAAGTCCTCCTGTGGTTGTAATGGATGGTGACCGTTCATCTGCTCGCTGACAACTGGAACAAGTTCAACATTTCCTCGCTCATTACAGACGTTGTTCTACAAATTTCTCTTTGGGTCTTTTTTTTTATCCTTTTCTCAAACTGGCACATTCTTAAAGATTCATTATGGGGAAAGTTAATTACCAGATAATGGCTAATGTGGGTGCGGGGGATAAAAGGTCTATTCATTTAGAGCGACGCCAGCAGAGAATAGACGGTAAAATAGCACACATCCCAGATTAATAGCTTAAATTATTATTTCATTTGAGGAATTTATAGGAACAGTGGCAGATTAAAAGCAATGCATTAAAATAATGAGCTCGATCTAACAGTCTGCTTCTGTAATCAGATTACTGTGTGACGCCACCAGTCCATTCATGTGTGAATATTAACACCTTTACCTTCTGAATTTGTGTTGATTAAACTTTTAGAAACCTTTATTTTAACGACAACAAACCTGTAAGTATTTTAGAGGATTTTTTATGATACAGCAACAGAGGAGTGACTGTGAAGGTGATTTAGTTTAAAGATTTTATCATAAAGCTTCTGTGAATAAAACCACCTATCATAGATGTTTAGCCTGCATCCATATCCTGATTTTAACTGATTTAGGATTTCCTTCTGATGAACGAATGTTGCCTTTAGATAAGTGGGGGAATCTTTAGCGCTGCTAGCTCTATCAGCTACTGGTTTATTGTGCTGTTTTTATCTCTGGGTCAAATCTTTTAAAATAGTTCATTTTTCCTGCCATGTCTTCAATAACCTTCATCTCTCTGCTGGGATTCATCTCCATCATCTTTCTTTCTATCTTAAAGTAAAAGTCGCTCAT